AGGACGAGAACTTACCTCTAGCAAAAACAGCACTTGCCATAGGGGAGTGGGGAGGAAGAGAGCAGAGAGAGCTGCAGAGAGGATCAGTGACATGGTGAGGAGCAGGGAAGGGGATGTGCCACACGAGGTTGCTAGCCACCGATCAGTGCCATAGCAAGTGGGGGTGAGCAGGGTGACCGCCCCAGGTGCCGAAGCAAAAGGATGCCAACAGGTGCTGCCCGGCCAGGGTGGGATGCAAGATGGAGCTGCGAGCAGCTTGTTTGCAGGGTGTGGGGAAAGGGGAAAGGCAGCTCCCACCACTGTGTGCACTCCTGGGCAAGCATGGGGGGCACATGCCCCCCGGATCTGTGTGCGGGGAAAGGGCAGGCTGCTGCAGGCTTTGCTCAGGGTGCCAAACTTCCTTGCCACAGCACTGCCACTGCCCCATGCCCTGGCCTGGGATCAGTCACTTTACAGTCTGGATCTGGGCCATGAGCCAGAGGTTGAGCACCACTGCTGAGTGTTGCCAATTCTCATGAGCTGCCAACTCTCATGAGCTAAGTTTTGCACATTCCCAAAGCGTAGACTTTAAGAACAAAGCCAAAAACCATGAGCGTTGGCAAGACTTACGCTGATCTACATCTAGAGCAGTAAACACAAAAAGAATATAATCCCTATTGCTTAAGACCACCCTAGCTACAGACAGCAAGCCACTGATATCAATTGAATACCGGGCCTACATGTCTGGACCTATATGTCTATATACACATGCCAGAAACCATAAGGTACATCTTCCAAAAGCAAGCCTCACTCTGCATTGTTGTGAGCAAGAGCCTAAAAACTGTTATGGTAGAGAATTACAGAAGGAGTAACCACAGAACCTCTGCTTGCTTATTAAAGAGAGACGGGGAGTAGCAGGACCAGTGTTTTTGCTACAGGACTCCCAATCAGAGTGCAAGGCTGGATTTTCTTTAGTTCACTGAAGCCTGTGCAGTTCTGAGATGACCTGGAATACATCTCACATCACTAAATTGTTAGCTTCTGATCAAGACTGAAAACTGGCCTGTGAAATTCCAGCTTTGAGTGCCTGTCTTGGGCTCCTGTTGACTTCACTAGGGGCAGCACATGGGGTTCTGACAGCAAAGTTTGGCCATACAGATAAGCATGGGAGGCAAAAAATAAATAAATCATCATTTAGGAACAACTGGAAACAGAAGAGCTAGATTTTAAAAAATCCTCCATTTTGTAAATGCATTCACAAAGCCTTAAAACACTCCTGGATCTCTGTACAAAGGGAAGCCAGTGGATCTTCTACCAGATCCACCAGTGTGGATTTTCACCAAGCTTTTGGGAAGATCTGGCTGGGGAAAGATTTTTCTGCTTATACCCAGCAAGGAATGGAGCCGAACCAATATGGGGTGCAGAGAAACAGAACTTTTCCTTCATACTCTTAGTTCACAGGATCATCCTGCACTCTGCATTGTACTGCACTGAAAATTGGCTATCCCAGGACTTAAATTCCTGTTGTAATCAGCAGAATCAGCAGCATTTGCTGCTCAGGTCCCTACCTTCAGGATATTACAAGGCTTTCAGTGTGTGAAGGCTAAAAACAAGCACACACAAATTGCTTCCCTTTCCATTACGGCCCTTTGTGCTTTGGGGCTGAAGTACACAGCTGGGTCAGAGTGACTTTGAGCCTAGAGGGGTTTCTGGTCTCAGTAACAGCATTACTGGCAAAGAGCATGGAACCTGGTGGAGCAGGTCAGCTGATTCAGCAATAGAAACATAAGCTTCTCTTCCTTAAGGATTTATTCTTGCAGTTTTAGGGCAAATTGGTTGCAGGAAGAAAGAAAAAAAGAAAGCAAAAAGCTTTTTGACCTAACTAAGAAAAAAGAAAGCAATTCCCGAGCCAGCCCCAGAACAGCTGAGAAGGAAGGATGGCTTGGTTTGAATTGGGACTCAAAAGGCTAGATTCCCAAATGTCATAGACCCCCAGTCCTGGATGAATCACTTACTCTGTGTGCTCCCATTCCCATCTGTAGAAAGGAAAGGCATGATGCAATAGCAAGCTCATTAGTGATGGGGGCTTTATCCATACCCAAAACTCCAGGACAGGGACTGTTTCCTACCATGTGTTTGTACAAGAGCAAGGTTCAAATATAGCTTCTAGTGAAGTGACTCTCAACCAGAGTGCCTTGAGATGCTTGTGCGGCACCCCAAGGCACCCTTGAAAGTAAGATTCACAAGATTAACCCAGAAATTTCAAATAGGAATCCATGGTGTTAAATATGTTCTGACCTTGTGTGGACTTTCCAAGGTCTTTGCAACAGAAGAATTGCTCTATTTTTTCCCTGTAGTCATAAAGCAAGCGAAACCTAAGAGATAGCATTTTCTGAGGGCTACTTTGAGCCTTAAAAAAGGTTGACAGCTACTCCACTGAAAACAGTGTGGCTATTGGTATTTTGCTTAAATTTGCCTGTATCCCCTAGAAGGCAAAGACTCCACTGCCTCTTAACTAT